ATATATACACTTTATAATTTTCGCCATTTATGGTTGATCCAATATTGCTTATGTTCTAAATAGTAACATATTCTTATCTTGCCTGACTTAGGTAGATATCATAGCAGCAATACATGTGTGAACGATTCCTTATTTCGTTAATTAGCCGTTATCGACTAGCACAACGTCAAGTCTCAAACGTTCAAAATGATTCATTGCCCGCTTTCCTTCCAAGCGAATGGTGGCACTTCGTGTGTCTCCCCTGACATTTTCAGTACAATCTCTTGTACTCAGCTGATTCGTATAGCGCTGCCGTCAGTGATACTGTCGTTGTATTTCAGTGGCCGTACGTCGCGCTCCTTGACAGTGGCACTGGGTCAGGGTTATGTCGCAATCCATTCAGTAGACCAGTAACGTGCACAGACCTAGGGCAAGATGCGTCGGGACGCATTGTGGCCACGCTGAATACTATATGAAACGTATTTATTAATGCTTAACGATCGACTAGACGGCTTGCGCCTTTTTAAGCGCGTGGTTGATACCATCATTCCAGCTACCGTCACGGTCACAATCAACTACGCCCAATTTGTAGACGTCCTCCACTAAAGCTGTATTTTACACGCGTTTATCAGATATATACCGGTACTATGTTTACAGCTGTGTGTGCACATTCACTTAATGGCTAAAATGCTTGTGCTTTTATTCAGAATCAAGGTCAAGCGAAAATTCTTGCGTTGATTAATACCAGTGATGGGTGACTACCTCGGTACAAATAGGACAACCCTAGCCCGCACACACGTAATGGTCCGACGCTGATTGCAGCGCAAGACTAAATAATGGACAGACATCGTTTATCCAAAGTACGCAGTAATAACCCATATCGGAGTCAACGCGACGTTGTGAAGCTAGGCACGGGGAGCAAACGGAAGCCCTGAACATATTGCGATGGGCAATGATGACCGCCCCGCTCATCGCCTGATTGATATACCAGCCATTTGTATGCAGACTCTATGATCCATAATTTAAGCATGGACAACATTATGTTTGCATTTAGCAGATACAGATTTGTATGGTACGAATGGACATTTGCTACGTAAACGCGAAGCGAAAGATGAGGACATAATACATGATTGTATAACGGCTTGCTTCGTGAGTTCGTTACGCTGTAACAACATCAAAAATAGGCGAAGGCATGTGTTCTCAATACTTAATTATCTTGAAAAGTCTTATGTTGACTATAATATTTGAACGATGACTTGTCTGCTTTTCTAATTACGCGAAAGGTCGCAGATAGAATTTTAAAACGAATCAGACCGATTCATGGTAGCCCTAGAACAGTGCAAAGCTGAACATTATTTTTCAGCGACCAACTTTAGATAACCCGAAACTCTCTGACGGGATAAATATCTGGCATAAAAAATAAAAAAACAAAGTAAAGTTCGGCAAGATTTTCTTTTAAGAACAACTTATGACATGATTTCTAGCATAGCTGTGACCATGAATTTTAATCAATGCTTCCCGTGCGCATTTTATCGGCCTTAGAAATTTATATATAGTGACTCGCCGTCATAGGTAACATTGAAATGCCACTATAGCTTAATATATTCTACGCTGTCCTCATAACAGCGCAATGGTGGTATGTAATCGATTTCTACCGTTCAGTCCCTTCACATCGGTAGTATTGAGCCGCACATCCACCTCGGCAGGTCTTCGAACTAACACTGAAGTACAATACCGAGGCCTACATTTTAAGAAACAGTCGAGAGACAGCTATAAAGTTCTTAACAAATTCTAGCAAAAATCTCGACCATTGAGAACTGAGAAATTATCGACGGCCGCCAAAACTCCGATTTGGTCACCCTTTCCATAATGCCGAAGCGCCTTTACTTCACTAACAATGAAGTCTATATTTTTTTCTGTTTCGATAAGAACATGCTAATACGTATAAGTCTAAATTAAATCTCAGTATGATTTATAGCTATGGCGGGCGTCGGGGAGAGGTTACACATCTTTTTTCAATTTCAGCCACAATTAAAAACCTAATATTAGTGGACCCTATACAGGTATGATACAGGTTTCTTTGTAGTGGATAGTTGCGATGTGTATGAACTAAATACGAATCTAAGTACCATGCAAAATGCGGATGCGGGTAAATTATGCCATGGCGTTGTTGGCTCGATTGAATTACTATTGCTTATAAATGCACTAACACCTGATAAATGGGTTTTTGTACATGCGGAGTATTTAAATCAACATCGATTTACATAGTTACCTCGTTGAGCGAATGCTGACAACCCTGTATCGCCACTCATCGTCGGTGACATCATTCGTATGGTCGCAACAATCAATTTATTGCTCTCTGTCTATGGCAGACGTATAAGGCAAGGCACCCGATGAACACGTTACATTTGAAAAGAAAGCGGAACTATCCGGGATCGAGCGGTACTACTCAAGCCGCAGTCATCACGAGACAATTGTGACGCTATGCAGATCGGCACAAACTCGCTGTGAAGCCGATGGTTCATCACTTGATCCGATTTTCCGCCGTTCTCGATCATCGGTTAACTTAGTGTTATATATATAAAAGTTCACAACGCGCAAAACAGTGATAAATTCGACGCACGCTACATAAAACACCACATTCTCTACCTAAAAGTTATTAACTTTATGTCTAAATGATAAAGTTATTCATTGATACAGCTATCAAATATCGTCAAGAGTACTGTTGTTACTGAACGACAACATCTAACTTCCTTCGCTGGTCTTTATCGACAGCAATGAACCGAATACTTCTATTATTGTTACTGGGTTCAATCAACAACAAGCTCAATCCAGTAAACGCTTGAGATTTACTCGACCATTGAACAACTCAGTTCACCGTCACACTGCCGTCAGTCAGCGAAAAAGAAATTCTCTCAGACAGAACTCTCAAGCAGATGCGCTAGGCAAGGAGGCCGGCGCTGCGTCTGTCATGAGCTGGCCAATAAACTAGTACTACGGCCACAGTCGCTCAAGATGGCCGGGCGCGACCGATTATTTAGACACACTTCCTGCGGTCAACGACTGAACTCTTGACTAGAACTCTTGGCATGCCAGCAACAGATCCGGTGAGAAGATTTTAAAAACGACCATTAAGCCAGTATCGGCTTTTCGATGTGCGCATTGGTTCGGTCTAGTGCGTGACACAAATAGGCGACTAATCATACCCTCCACACATAGCAAACAACTCCCAGGGAGCTGTAGCTACGGCGCTCGCGATTCCGAGCGATCACTAGAAATCGCCCGAACACGGAACAAAAAACGCTACTGCAGTGAGAACAACTTCTTGGAAGTTAGCCTCGTGCAACTCGTATTGCTGCTAAGAAGGCGAGCGTCGACGCTACATGGAATCGATCGTTTATTCGAGACAAGCCAACTGCTCTGGCCCCGTCCACTTGTCGACAACCAGTTCGCTCCCACTGACCGATAGTCATAGATGTCTGCTTGTAGCTTATTTTCACCACTCTTAGCAGCGAGCCCTGTAGAGATTCCTCGCTACCGGACTCGCTTGAGTCGCGCATGCACATACAAGGACAAGTGGCGATGTATATATATATGGCTCGTAAGAGCTGCTCGCGTGTCTCGACTGGGGTGTACATGTTCCAGCAAGGCAGAACCAGCTAGTGACGACGAACTACATAACATAAATAGAGGAGGCAAGAAGTCTCCGGCAGATCGCAGCGACACCAACAGGAGCGACGGTAACAGCCACACGAACTGATATCCGCTGTTCATTCGTCGATACGGAGTCAGCTATCGGGGTCGGATAGAACGGCAGACTCAATGGCTGCAGCTGACTCGGTCCGCGTGTTGTGTTCAAAGGACAAATGAACGAGTGATGAGCACTGGCACGCGGACGACACCGATCAGAGGTCAACTTGTGGCCAGCTTAAGTACGTGGCTTATGTTGAAGCTCGTGTAGACCAAACTATCAGAATCTGGCAAAAGACAGCGTATTGCCTTGGAGTTCATAAAATATCAATGACGTAATTCTACAATGTGCATAGAACGTGTGTTTTTGTGGACATTATCTGTCTGCTTGAGCCCTCGCTCTCTTACGAACTCAGAGCATAACTTAAGGTCTTAACCAGTGTATTGCTGCAATTGAAATTCGATTGACATGAAAATGTTTGTTCAGACATCCCATTATGGCAATCACTGTACCTAAAGTTCTATAAATTACAATAAAATAATGTGCCAAAGTCGCCCCTTAAGCACCTCAGGATGTTTGCACACACTAGGAATAAGGTCAGATAAGCTCCACTAGAACATTCGGTGGTAAGACATTAGTCTGTATCTGACCACGTGTCAATATGAAGGGAAAATGCTATAGATAGGTAGTCTCCAAGTGAAATAGACAAGCCTATATTTTAACATGTTTGTAGTGCTCGTTAGCGTGAAGATTCTAGAGTAACGGTACGTAGCCGCTTTAAGCATTCGTTCAGGTAAATGTCAGCCTTACATACATACGTTCCAATATGAGGACGTAAATTAATTACTACAATAATCGACAGACTAGCTAACTATTACGAGTAGAAAATTTATCTGTGAACACGGAATTCGCAGCGTGCTTAAGGATAATTAGCTTTGCTCCCTTAAAATCGACTTTTAATAATTGCTTTGAGCTTGTTCTTTATAAGAGCAAATATGTCGGAATGATTTTGAAAGAAATTCTGTAGGCCGAACAAAAGTTTACTGGATCTTGGTAAGGGCCAACACTCATAATAATCTATGGCTCATCATAAATATAATGCTTTTCACTGCGCGAAAATACATTGTTTACAAACATTGAAGTGAATATGGACTCTCGATAAATGCTCTACATTTTAAACTATCCCTCTCTGTGAGAGGACAGTTTTTTTCTGTTCGTGTTAAATATACAGCTGTAAATCGCCGTAAGGGGCAAAAAAATAAGCAATTAATAGCGTTCTGATTTCGATCCGATACTTACGCTAGTATAACGGTACATTTGAATTCCAAGATAGATTCACAGATTTCCTTTAGTAATCCTGTGTTTACCCTTCCATTCGTCACTGTCAGATATCATTCACTGTATGATTGTTGATTTCGACGGCCATTCTTTATCACTGTGTATAGGAATACAACGATCAAACTGCTGTAAAACAATACAATCGCGCTGCCTTTCTATATTTTGATTTTGTAATGATGTCTTGGTTCAAAACCGGTTTGGTGTCTCTGTCTTCGAACCACGATACGACGATTCGTCATAGTGACTTATCTTTGTTTTGGAGCACATTTTTAAATACGGAAAAGTCCTATTTAAAAGCTATATAGGACGTGACATCGATAGCCAATGCCCGTGTCGACCAAAGGAAAATAAAATATCCGTATGTCAGCTTTTACGTAAAGCTTCTGACATCCTAATAGGAAGGGTCGACTATACAAAACACCGAGCATTGGAATACGCTGTTTAAGATTTCATCGTTACGAATTGCAGATGTTAGCGCCACACGAAGTGCAGAGTTCCACGTAAAATTCTACAGGTTATGTATACAAGACCTGCGCAAACATGCTCGGGCAAAGGTCGAAACAGGTCGAACGTTTGCTTTACAGGCGTAAAAAGGATGACATCTAATTTATATGCTTCAAGCAACTGGATTAGCACATATAAAGCAACTACATGTCAAGTATAGTTGATGCTTATGTAAAGTTTATATGATATGAGCGTCTTTTCTATAACATGTTGCACCGCTAAACGAATGAACCGGTTTTTACATGGGAAAAGAGGTGAGAACAATTGCGTTGTTATCATCGATAAGTAAAAAAGAAAACGAGCATTTTCGAGTTGAAATTCTAAATGCAAGTAAACGGTTATTGAAGTGGAGAACTCGTTATTGTGTGTTTCCTTATCAAAAAACGGGGTTCATTTGTGTATCTATTGCTGTTGGGAGACGTAAAATATACGTGGTGTATGAAAGACACATCACAGAAAAAGCCAATTTGTATTCATCTAACGGATGTAGCATTCAAGTTAGGGTGTAAGAACGCCGGTGTGTATATACACGATATATTACTGATGATACTCTATGACAGATTCAATTAAGTCCGTAAAAAGCTGTCCCGTAAACTTTCGACCGGAAATAATTGATTTTTCTGCATTTACTGAATCCGATATTATCTAGTGGATTTATTGCCCGGTCCAAGTTAAATCAAACACCATTGTTGTTTACATTTTCAACCGAGATAATTTATTTATGAATGAAAGAAGCTTGCCATCTACATGTGCAGAGAGAATTTCCTAAACATTCCTAACCCTTGCCACAATTTTACCGCTTTTAAAATTACCACCAAACTGCCGGATGTTATCCTTAAAACAGCATGACATAATTAAAAAGATTATCGTTCAAAATTGAAATGATTATATTATATCGGTGTCTTGGTGTTTTTTATGGCATCTGCCAATTCTCAACTATTTTTTTTATTCAATTAAGTTGCTAGATTATATCGCCCGTATATCGATTGAAATAGCTAGAAGCTCCAATAGAATGCAGCCTAGGCACAGCCAAGGAAATTAACCCCTGCCTGAACCTTCGTTGTCTAATTGCAAGAATCGTTACCGTAAACAGGTAACACATCATGTAGACGATACATTCTTTGAGGACGCTCGTTGCAGCTGCATCGAATGCGGTCCTAGTTTGGCCTTCTTACGGAATTCGCGAGCGGTCCATTTTGAAGTGTTATTTTCGTGGAGTTTGTTTGCGACATCATACATTCATCCTAAATACACATCACCACAGTTATTTCTGTAGTATATCTACTAATGCTTCAAGCTTTACATCCGACTTCACTGCGTTGTTCTAATCAGTTGGTCTCTTCCATCACGAAATGGGATGTACACATGGGGTTTCGAACCCAGACCCCAAGTGTCCCTAGGTTTACTTGATAATCCGGTTACTGCTACGGCACCGTTAGCGCAACACTGGCTTTGCTACTACTGAGGCTTTTACAAGGACCAACGTTATTGCTTCTTTTACATCAACGGTAAATATAGTTTCCAGACCGCATACAATAGTTAACATTGTGCAAGAGTTAGCATGACAATACGGCCCCGACTAATCGCGATTAGGTATCGACCTCTTCCTAGATCAGCAGATTATTTGCCACGTAACTACGCGCGCTTTCCGTGTGGTAAGCAACGACGCGCCGTAATTTTTACTCATTTACACATTTTTTGCTAACTCAACGATATCTAATTTTCAGCAGTAGAAGCGTTTGAATTAAACCAGAGCGACAGCACAAAGAGATACATTAACCCTTTCCAGCGTTCTTCTATTACGACGACGACCAGCTACATTAAGCACACGTACACATGCTACAGATCTGCACGGGGCAAGTACACGATCGGCAGCAATGTTCTTGCGTGGGAGTATTTTGTAGTTGTAAGCAGCTCTAATTACGTAGGATTACAGTTCTTTTGTAGGAGGAAATGAAGGCCGTAGCTTTTACATTGCCATCGAAACATGTTAGCATTGGCTTATTACAGCGCAATGCTATGCGCCGTAGATTTCGGCTCACCAAATATACACACGTATCATTGAAAGGCAAAAAAAAAATTACAATTTTTTTTAGTTAGGTTAGTAGCCGTTGTATGACTGAACGTTTTGCGTCGATGATGACGATGACCCTAGAAGGAAAGCCCTTGCTCGCAGTTACTGCGTTATAATATATAACTACGGTACATATTCGAATGTATGCTAAATGTACATACTGTTTCTCAGATACTAAATTTGCGATAGTCGACCGAAAGTTTACTGGTAGAGAGCTGTTAGCGCAGAACGTGTGCACACGGAAAGACTGACTCGAATTGTGCACCAAGCAGGCTTCAGCAGAGTACTGATCACTGTCATGTCTCTCTCAAAATCAATAGCCTGTACCAAGCAATCGTGCACCGGTTTAAAGATGTCAAAGTCAATTGTAATACTGTGTGTACTTGAACTGCTCGTGGGTCTATAAAGGATAGGCCGAATACGTCCTGGACTTTTATTTTTAGCGAAAACATACAGGTAGAAGAAACGTTAGACAATGTGTTAACAATCAACCGATATATTCACTTGTGCGTCAGTTATACGTTAGCTTGTTGATCGAGGCCCTAGTTGAATTTATGATTTATGTTTTAATTTTAATAATAATAATAAATATCAATAATAATTTACATTATTGTATCGTTTGTCTATGTCTTTGAATAGAGCGAGCAGGCTAGTAAAATCATCAAAAAAAAAAAGTAGCAAAAACTACAATCGTGAAATATACCGAATTGTTTTAGGGTAGGTAGGCGGAAGTTCAAAATTCACCTTTTAATGTTTAGTAGCAACAACAGACGGATGGCACTTTTTTCCTCACTGGACAAACTTACCGTGCTTCGAAATTTTTCGAAATTCCCAAATTTCGTCAGCTGGTCTCTATCGATGACGAGTTGTTTCAATCTATGACATCCACGGTATATTTATCGCTTCGCCTAAAATCGCACATCAAGCTAATGGATCGTCACGTGATCGAATACTATATAGTGCCCATATCGGAAGCAAGTCCAATGACCTGATTCACTGCCTTTACCTTCTTATTCATGCCCAGTCGAATCGATCCAATTGACCACTCCAACCCAAACAGCAGCCAATGAACAAAAATCGTTACGCTTATGTGTAAATATTCCTTGTCAGCATTTGCTTCTGGCTTTCCTCATTGGCATCGGCGGATCTCAGATCGGCAGTGTTTCACATAATACTAAATCTATATACTAGCCGTTTGAATCTGTAGCTGGCCGTTAGCAACGGCCGACGCGATTTATGCCCCGATCATATCCAATCAGTCGTTGACGCTAACTAAATGCAGTCATATTTCCTTTTGCGGCTTCGGTGCCCGTGGCACACTTGTAGCTTTGGGCCGTCTGCTAAAGCTAGTGGCCATATGTAGCTCAGAAAATGCTTACGAGCGTGCTGACATTTGCACCAGAAAAGACCTTGGTTGAAATTTATACAACAATGAATTGTCATTTTATATTTACTTAGTAATTCTTAATGGCACGAACATGTTTTTCATGTTAGATTACTAGTTCAATTTATTTAATTAACAATGCTTATAACAGTAACAAACGTAGCTTTTTTTTTTCTATTTTTTTTTTATAAATTTTCATTTCTTATTCACTAACGTAATTATTAAATAGTCTAAAGAACCAAATTACTAACAAAAATCACTCTCTAATCTGATGTTTTAGGTAAAATCGCATAAGGTTTCAAGTGTTGCTTTCGTTTTCGGACAGCCTTAATGCCGTTCTAAAAAATTATCATCTGAATTTTATTAAATGTGGCAAATGAAATTTAAAAAACAAAAACAATGAGACACTTGATTCGATCATTGTGGGATCATATTGAAATCGTTCTGTACGAAATAGGAAATCCTCGCTGGCAACATCCCCGTAACGTCATTATGGCGTAAAGCATTTTTCGTGTTCGTGCGAATAAATGTCTCTATGGCGTATAGAGCCGAGCTTCAAGTAGGCTAATGGGTCAGTTTTACCTCGTAATTACCCAACGAGCGGTCCTTGATAAAGCAATGACAAATGTACTGATTGCTTTCTTCACAATATAAATGGATGCATAACATTTTGTTATTTCCCTTGTATTAGAAAAGATAGAAAATAGTTTTTCTAATATATATATATATATATATGTTTACTTCAGAAAACACCTTTCCACATCGTAAAGCGACTAACACATCTGTTCAATAGTGAGAATCGAAAGACAATAAAAAAAATACTGTCAGCTTACTTCTTTGAAGTAGCCTCAATTTCCGTTCTGGGCAATGTTGTCCACCGTTGAAATTCTTCGAACGAATAAACTTCAGGTAGTTTGAAGACCATCATGAACGGTAAGCAAATTCGTCAATCCACTCACGTTGCAGGAAAA